AAAAAAAGAAAAAAAAAAGAGCCAAGACAGGCTGCAAGGTACATTATGTCCCACCACAGCAGAAGAAAACAGCATAAAAGCATCTGTGCTGCTGGAGAACAGCTACCTGTAATGAGGAGAGATGTGCACCAATGGGATGAGCAGTGGAGACTCCAGGCCACCTAACATCTGTGCTGGGGACTAATAAGCCCGTGCCTTGAATAACAGAATGTTTTATAGTGGGGAACTAGGGAAGGAGGAATGGCGCTGTTTGTTTTTTCACATGCCCTCATATTACCCTGCCAAAGTGAAGCTCATGAAAGTTGGGCTTAACTATTTTGTCTGAAAAGAGTATTTACATCCTTATGCGTATCTGGCATATTTCTGTATTTCATCTTCCTTTCAAAGGATAACACAGCTTCTAAAAATTCCTTCCAAGAGTCATTATAATTTTACTCTGCTCCCGATTTAGTAAACAACTTCATTTGTCAGCCTTCAAGCCCTTGGCAAAGAGGCCAGCACCACCATTTACATCCTACAGAAAGGAAACTGGAGCAGCACAGCTTTCCCAACAGCGCCCAGGACACCAGAGCAGACCCCCACACCCCTGCAGCCTCCTGAGCCCCACTCCAGCACCCCACACATCGCAGCTCCCCCAAGTGCTGTGCACGCATGGGATGACGCTGACCTTCTGATGATCTCCTGCCTGGAGGTGTTTAGAAACCCGCTGTCCTTCCTGGCGGCCATGCAACCCATGCGTGTTTCAGAGACTCTCTACAAATAACAAGGAACCGGCGCTGCGCTCACGAGAGCTTGACTTCTTTCTTCCTTTTGAGGAAGGAGAACAAGAAAAAAAAAAAAAGGAAAAACAATGAAAAAATGAAAAAAATTAGCTCGACTCCAGTCCCCATCTGCTGGGGGATTTTTATATTGCATTCATCTCTCTGGACTGGCATCCTTATATCCACGGAAGAAGTTCCTAGCTCTGCAAACCAAAATTCAGGTTCAGCAAAAACATGGTAGCTTTTTAAAACAGATATATTTTTAAGAAGCCTAGATAAAACAGGTAGTGTGCCTACAGCAATCTACATCATTGGGAAGGCACAGAAGTACAAATCTAAGCATCAGAAAAGATGAATGACTTCACTGCAGCCAGGCTGAAGCACACAGCCCTGGTACGTGTGCATGCAGAAGCCAAATGTGAGCCCAAAGTCCCATCAGGTGTTGCCTGAAAGTTTCAGTAGAAGCAGAAAAGCACGAGAACTTTGTTTCACTTCCAGAGGTCAGCACTGCGTTCAAGAGATCTCCCTGCTCCTCAGGGAAACGTCAGGACTGGTGCCTAGACGAGAGGAACAGTTATCCTCATTTAGATGCATTATTTAGCTGAGCACAAAGTGGTTATAGAGAACTTTCTGACTGCAAATTGTACGTGCTACTAACTATACACATATTACCTGTTTTGTCTCCTGTATTTGTACTGTATTTTAATTAACATGTATTTAATGTTTTAGATCGCAAGCATCCTTCCTGCTTTTCACACAAATTTCTTCAGAACCACTATTTATAAATCATTGTTTTTTCCCTAGCTACTGGCCATCGGGATTTTCCAGAGTTCACAGAATACTCTGAAATAGCACTGCCACATGGCCCCGTTTAATTATAGATCAACAGCTCTGTTACGGTTCTTGTAGCTCATTCCTACCCTGCTTGTAAAAATACGAACTCTGCACAAGGGTCCTGGTAAAAGCAGCACGCAAAAGCCCTTCAGATCCACGTGCAAGCCTTCCAGCAGTGACATCTCGTGGCTGTCAATAAAACAGTTCCCCGGGCATTTCACCGGTCCAGCAGGATTTACTGCAGACCCCTGCTCTAGCGCAGGGGGTGAGCACCGAGGGCTGCTCCAGCCTCCGTGGAACTTTCCGCGGCCATAGTCAGCAGTTTTCTTCAGCCATTCTCCCCTCCTTACACCTTCACTTTACTCCACTTGGCTCTTACCACTGCTTGATTTTACCCCACCTTTCATTCCCTGCTCAGAGGGGGATTCCCTATGCAAATCCATTGCTTTATAAATAAAAAAATTACAACAAAAGGATAATCCACCGTGTCCTCCTAGCAGATCCTTCTGCAAAAGTGCTTGTCATCCCTGTTCAGCTTTTTGCAGTGAGGACAAACCTGTGATACGTTTGCTCGGTGGACTGGATATATGGTCCTGGATAGGTCTCAAAACACTTGTTAAAGCATATAAGCTATTCGAACCACCAGAGTAGGCTGATTTTTCACACTGGTCGTAAGAAACATGAGAGGCATTCAGAGGAGTATTTTTACCGTATTATCGCTCTTCAGCTGTCCAGCTCAAGTGAAATGAAAACTGTCTCTAGTATGCGTTAACTCATGCCTAAGACTAAGACACAAGAAACTAAGGTTTAATCATCATCTCTCCTTGCATTTTTGGTGCCTGTACTTTGCTATGGTAACTTCTCCCTCTCTACACCACTTTCATATCAGAAGCATTTTTTTAAAAGTGTAGTAATTTACAAAGTGCTAATGTCACTACAAATTAGTGAGTACCAAATACTGTGTATCTTAACCCAGTTCACAGGATCCAGTTCAAAAAGTAGCTGCACAGACCAGTATTTGCTTACCAGCAGCAAGACGATGCATTTAGTTCTGCCTACTACTTGCTGGCTGGCTCAGGAACATTGCTAATTACATTACACACATTAATGCAATTGAGCTTTTGTGTGGGACATCATCTGCCCTTTGTATTTAATCCAGAAGTCGCAAACTCTCCAAAATAACTGCATTCTTCGAAGTCTAGTAGCACACCTACAGCCAGCAATGCTGTTCCTGAGTATGACACTCTCCTGGTAGTTTCATCCCTCCCTTAATCCCTGCTGCTTCTCAAAGGCTGAGCAGCTGCAGACACACACTGCAATGGGCTGGAAACGGACCAAGCAAATAGTCCTACCTTCTGCTTTCTGCACAATAAAGGTAAATTTATAGTTATCATCCATATCAGTGGCTTTGCTTCCCCTGAACAGGCCACATCACAAAAAAGCGCAGATTTTAGAGGAGGTGATGTAATTCTGGAAATTCTCCTCTTCACCTGTTAGCATATGAGCACCGATGCAGCAGAGTTGCTAGGTCAGAGAAAACAAAGGAATTAACCAGAGCAGGCATAAGGAACTAGTATACTTACACGGAAGTGATTCTTCCCCAAACACAGGCCACCCTAAAAACTTCAGCCACTGCAAAGAAAGGCTTTTGCCTATGAGCAGGTCAATCCTCCCCATCCAGCGAAGCAGCAGGCTCAGCAGTGTGAGATTCCAAAAAGAGTTATTTTGTGCTTTGAGTCACAGATCCAGACCCTCCTCTGTGCTCTGGGGGGAGCAGGAGGGCATCTGTAGATACATACTATGCACCCTAAATTCCTGAACTGTGAATTTAAATGTATTATGGATGTGGCCTTGAACTGAAGTAATTACAAACATAAGTGACAAATCTGTGTTTCTTCTGCCAGGTAAAGTCATAAGAAACTCTCTCTCAGTTTGTCAGCTGAACTGCTATCTGACAGCAAGATGGATTATTTGTGAATTGACAGCATTGCCAAGGCATACAGCTTGGGGCTACAACTTTTGAGAAGCCTGACAATGTCCCTATTGCACTTTGGAAGACACACAGTAGGGACAGAAGCACCATTTTTCACCATTACCTGCAGGTACAACAATCAGAAAAGCAAATCTTTGAAATACCTTCAGCTGTGCCGAACTCACAACCGCCTAGATCACCACTATCAGCCAAAAAAATATATTGCTTTTCTAAATATTTACTTCAAGTCTGAAGAGTAGGATCAAAATGTTTACATTTAACAGCTCCCTGAAGTGCCCCCCATGAACCAGTCTCACAAAGAGACCACAACAGTAGGTGAAGGTGTCCCCGCACGTTCTCCCCAGCAGAAGCCCCACAAGCTCATGCAGAGGAATACACCGTCTGTCTTCATTAACCTAGAGCAGACTGCCATCGCAGCAGCTGGTGGTCCCACTTCTGTCTCACTTGTTTATGAAGTTTAACATGTTTACAGGGTGGCTTAACAGAGAGGAGTACGTTGCTTAGCATCAACCACCTCAAAGCTCTTCTGCTTTCCATACGAGGACAAGCAAGGGTGTGGTGCTCCCCACCTTCTCTATGAATTACAGTTACACATTAAAAGACCCACCTACATAACAGCCTATTTTAAAACCAATCTATCATGACTGAAAGATTAAAAAGCAGGATAAAACTGATGAAACTTAAAGACATTTGTACCCCACAAATTTAGTCTCAAAACACACGCTGGCATTTGTTGTCTGAACTCATTCGAACGCCACACTCGGACTTAACTCCAGGGAGCTTTATGGATTTAAGAAGGCACGTGGTGTTTGCTACAGGCTGTAATTTCTTACATTGGACTTGAAAAATGTAATCCACCTCCCCAATATACTTCCACTGTAACTTCTTGTTTGAATCTTCTCCACATTATTCAGAAGTAGCCTTTCATCAACCAATAGCTTTAAATAAAGGGGAGGGAGGGGGAAGCTTTCCACTCTCAAACCAGTATAACACAACCTAACCTAAACTACATAAAACACTGAAACTCCTCTGCTATGCACGGCACTAGTGTTACTTGTAGGTTTAATGCTGTGCTGCAGTCAAGGTACCTGGAACTTGTTTAAGCACTGTGTTCTCAGCAGATGATCACAGATTTACAGCAGAGCACCTTACAAGTGAGCACAGCCCAAAAAGACAAGAACTGATGATGGGACCACTGACTACATACTTCCGGGTCAAAACAAACAACAGCTTTTATAACCTATGGTGATTTAAATTGAAGTGGCTTTTCTTGACTTCCAAGCCTGAAGAAAGGTCATGCAGATGTGCATATCCGTCTCCTAACCAGGTCCATCACCCCTTTCTTCCCCCCACTCCCAAAAAATTCAGGTTTTGGAAGAGAGTCAAAAAAGGCAGTGTGCTTACCCCCAGTAATGGTTAGATCATCTTTAATTCTAGCACCTGAAGTTATACAAGGGTTTGCTTAATAATCAAGTTTCAAAGAACTGTTGGACACATTCAGTAAGGTGACAACTGTGCAATACCACTCAGTATTTCAATATCAGGGAACATACTCTTGAATTGTTTAAACACAATCCACAGAACTCAAAATTGAACAACCATCCACAGTTTAACTAAACAATCAGTTAAAAGTCTTACAGTTTAATAATTCACATGATGGTCAGTCAGTAAGGGATACTGAAATTCATTAAAACACAACACTAGATTTTACTCTATGCATGTGTTGGGCAGGCACATAATTTGCCATTCTTGGGTACAACCGGAGGAGTAAGGAGAAGTTTACCACAGTTTGGCAAATCCCACATTTTGTCAGTTAAAAGTGAACTGTGAGAATTAAATACTCATCTTTACATATACACAAGTTATGCTGTGAAAGCATATTTGCTTACAAACATATAAAAATACTTGTTAACTAGTTTGATAAGAAAATAATGTATAAAAGTATATAGCAAAAACATTTAATCATCTCTGACAATGGAAAGATCAAATTCATTTTTATATCACATGAAACAAAAACAGCTACAATTTTAGTTTTCCTTAATCCCTTACCCAGAAATACAAAGGAAGACACAATTTGTTTCCAAACAAATGATGTGAAATTGCTTAATAAGCTGAAATGCCTCAATCCAGAATGAGCTCAGGTATTTGGCCATATCCTAATAGTAGTAGTAATCATCCTGTAGCTGTTCTGGATTCATAAAATAAATACAGTAGACTGTTTTGGCCACTGAAATAAAACTGCAGCATAAATGAGAGATGAAAATTTTTGCTGACAATGAAATTCAGTGTAGGTTTCTTAAGGCTAGCTGAATACTCAAGTCTAATTTAACTCAGGGCAAAAAAAGCCAATCCACCCCTTTTTTAAAAAGTATTCTCTATACTTCAATATAGGTCTTTGTAATAGCTAATGAAATGTCAGAAGTAAAAATAAATTAATTCACAAGAGACAACTTATGCATGACTTCAACACCTTGTCCTACACGGTTTTGTTTCATCTCCTTTGCGAATAGAACTCCACAAGGTGCAAGCTCTTAAGGGAGAGAAGGAAGGAACTGTGGTATTAAAGAAGCAGCCTTAGTGTTTTGTTTTGAAGTCTGCCCCAGGATGACCGAGTCTTCTTCAAGAACTATTCTGCCAGCTTCTTGGACTAAGGCTATTCTGGTGACCACTTTTAGGACATGCACATATAAGGCTAGACCAATATCAGAAGTAATGTAAAACGATGGAAAGAAAAAAAATGATCTGGCAGTTGATAGCTTGGTTCTTGGGATTCTCAGAAAATAACACAATGGCAGCCTTTCTTGTCTTTTTCTTTCCGTGTTGGCTCTGGTGAAGGAGGGCACTCTTGTTCTTGAAATTTCCTGGAAATAGATATTTCAAGTTAAATTCATAGAATTATTTTCAGGTAAATAAAAATAAATACTGTATTTAAAGTTACTGTTTTTACACTTACATAGATGGTCTTACTTTCGAAACTCAAACTACTGATTAAAGGAGTCATAGTTTTTTTGGGGTTTGCTTTTTTAATTAAGAAACGCCATTTCTTACAGAAGGCCAGTCTGAGATTTAGTTTATCAGCTTGCTTACTGAGTGATCAACAAAATCTCAGAGATTAAGGTGAAGAAATTATCTTTCAGATACATATTACATTAATGTAAACATTTTTCCTAACACACAGGAACAATTAACCATGGAAAGCACTGGTCAAAGCTTACAGGTAAGGGCAGGCAAAATTCTCTCCGTGGTTTCCCACTGCATTTCAATACATTTCTGTAGCTATCCACTACTGTAGGGACATGAATTATCTGGTCTCAAGTTATCATACCTTATAACTCTGACAAGTTCATGAAAAGCTTGGTCTACATTCAATCTGATTTTTGCTGAGGCTTCCATGTATGTTACTTTAAGTTGTCGTGCTAGCTGCTGACCTTCCTCTTGTGTCACCTGTAACAGACATCAATCACTGAATTCAAGGCTTCCACAGGCAGGTTCACACCAGTAGCACTGCAAATACATGTTAAGGATCTACTGCCCTCAAGCAATAATGCTTATCTGGCCAGAGAACAGTGTCCACATTGTCCATATAACACAACTGGGAAACAAATACATGTGATACATCTTCTCAAATGCAAGTGAAGGCTTCTTAAAAAAAGTTTCTGCAATAAAGACTGATCCTCTAAAGAATTTCCCTCACTGCAGCTCATCTTCATTTCTGCATAACAAGACCAACTTTTCCTTCATAGGCAGACAAGAGTCCCTCACTCTTCCCCAAAGTAAGAGCTTCAGTCAAAATCTGCCAGATAACTAACAGAACTGTGAATACTACTGCTAAATTCACCCTCTCCCGGTCCCACCTAAATCTAGAGGAAAAAAAAAAATCAGATTACTACTTTTAAAACAAGATCTGATGTTTAGCTTCTGAATCTTTAAAAAGTCTTTTAAAAAAATCTATTTATGACACAGCAAAATATTAATACAGACAGTTTTTAACATTGCTTAAATTACAAGAGACCTAAAAATCAATGAAGCCTTCAGGCTACCCAGAGATACAAAAGAAACCCCGTCTACCTCCTGACTCCTTGGCACAACAGAGGAAAACGAGATGAAGAAGAAATAATGAGCATCGTAAAGACCTGGTATAAAATTTAAAGTGATGAAGCAGAAGGCAGGAAGCTAGTGGGCCATTATAGGAAAGAGGAGTCAGTTGGCCACGAGGCAAAACCAAAGGAGATCCTTCCGTATTTCTGGCTGCAGTAGAAAGCAGCGAGGTCAGCCAGCAGAAGGCCACCCCGAGCAGGGCAAGGCACGCGAGGCTTCGACAGGAAGGTCACCCGCAGGGCTGGGAGGAAAGAGCAGCCTTCAGTGACAAAAGGAAGTCAAACAGATCTTGCCAAGACAATGGCTAGTGGAAGAAATGTAAAAGATTACACTGCTTTCACAGAAAAATGTTAAACCAGCACGCAGAGGACTGACACAGTGAGAAAATAAAAAAAGGGGGGTGGGGTGGGATCTTTTTAATTTAGTTTTGAAATGTTGCTCAGATATTCACTCAGATGAAGAACCTACACAGCAATGGGAACAGAAAGATACCAGTGGGAGTGTTCACAGAAGGACTTTTTAGCTTGCAAAATACTTTAATGGCTACACACACGGTTTCAGAGCCTTCATGCACAGCATCTCAACACATCTGATTCCTCTCTCCTTAGAGCCCCTACTGGTATTATATTCATATATTTACTGCCGAATTGAGGGCTGTTCCCACTAAATCCTCATGAAGCTCTGCAAGGAGCCCCCAGCACCTTGTGCCACTAGCTGGGTGACTTGGGCTGCAGCCGCTGGCCTCAAACCCTCAGGGAAACTCTACATTTGTTTCAATGTTACTGCCATCTGCTGAAGCCCAAAAAAAAGCCCCAAAACCAACCCAACCCCAAGATCAGCTACTAGAGCTGCAGTTTTCACAGCAGGGCACAAAGTGAGAGCGACTGTCATCCTTCAGTCCTCCACTGGCATCTGAACACTGAATGATATTGAAGACTTTTGCCCCACTAGCTGCAATAAACCCACTTCTACCTTTCACCCCCAGGTGCTGAAATATCCTTATTCCAAAGCTTACGAAGGCTACATTTGGAGAAATATTCATAGCTGTCTTCTGACATGTCAATGACATTGCGAGTCCTCCAGGGGTTTGCATCAGGGCTTCCAGAACCTTTTATACATCTCTGCCTCACTCATCAGTCAAAAATAAGTTAAAAGTACAGATGGGGCAGTTTTTGCAAAACTAACCCTCTTTACTTTTCTTCACTTCTGCACAGGTTACTGTAGGCCCAGAAAGTGAGAGGCTGAAGTCTAATAAAAATAAATAATTGGGAAGGAATGCACAGTTCTGAGGAGAAACTTAATCCAGTCTATAAATGTACCTGGTTACAACTTTCTGCATTATTGTATCTAAAGCATATTAAAGGACAAGTCAAACTAACACTATAAAGTTAAGCACACTTCCCAGTTTTCTGCATTCAAACTACTATAGATGCAACTTTAAAGCCCTTATTGCATTTGTTAAAAGATCTGCAATTGCTTAGATCCAGACAGTATTTTTGTCAGTCTTACAAGTACATTTTCAAGTAGCTTGTGGTCCGTTTTAGTGACCTCGACAAAGTCAGTTTAAAAAAATTCTTCGTTTTGGGCATGCTAGGGAAGCATTTGCAGTGCCCAAGCTGTGAATTAGAGGCTGGAACATAACAGCTCCATTTTCATAGCTGAGGGAAATGCAGTTAAGTACCGTAGAAATACCTGAAAACAAAAATGAATTTACATCTTTTTATTCTCCCTGCTCAAGTATGACAGCCCTGTGCCACGACAGACTTTTCTGTAAGCATGATGGGAGAGCTTATTAAATGTCTCCAGCAAAAGAAAAACTAAATCCTTTTTCTTCAAAGAACACTGTGCTTTATTTTCACAGAAGAGAAACATGGACTTTCTGGTACTAACTGTGTGTGTTGGTGCTTTTGGTAAGCTTAAGGCAGAATATGAATGGGAATCATGACGCTTATCCCTTGTTTTAGGCTATTTTACAGTTTGTGTTTGGATATCATTCATTCATACTGTACAGACATCTGGTAAAAGTTTCTCAAATTAAACACAGCTATAGAATATATGAGCAAGTAAAAGCTGGAAAAGCTTATTCCCCAACTCCCTAAGTAACAGTTTTCTTACTAAACAGTTTCCATTTGAGTATCTGCAGAATTCTGTGAAGGTATCTCACAGCACCCTCCCTCTTCCCTGCGGTACCCAAGCACTGTTAGACATTAATTTCTGAAGTTCCTGTCCTTTCCTCCAGCTGAAGCAGCTCCCCAAGGCCGCCTCACCTAACACTGCCCTGGCATTTTGCCTGGATGCTCGTACAGACTGAAGGTCACGCTGCACCCACGCCGGCAGGTAACACTTAAGTGGCTCCTCAAGCTCGAGGAATCCCGTTCTACCTCCTTGAGGTCACCCCGCAGCGCACAGGAACATTGCCCATTCCTGCAGGAAATCGCCCCTGAACAGTGCACTGTCACCCTGCCCCCCTGCCCCGCAGCCCACCCACACCTGCTGCCGGTGCGCACGCAGAGGGGGCTGCACCATGCCTTCCTGCAGGGATAGGTCACTGCCCACCAGTTCTAGTCTGTCCCCATTCTCCTATAAAAGGTCACTATGACAGACGAACTGTGATTATGAAGCACCGACACATACTCAAACAGACTGACTTGCTGTATCCAAACACTGCATCAGATGCCTGAGGGCTAGCTCTCCGTCAAGCTCAGGATCAGGGAAGCCTGAAGGTATGACCCATCTGTGAGAACATCACTGTATACAGCATCAAAATCCACCACCTCAAGAGGCTACTGCCACACTTTCGTACAAGTGCACAGCAGTAGAGAAAGGCCAAATCAAAACATTAACACAGTGGGGCAGGCCACCACCCAGGTCCCTGTACCCACCTACCTGCCCACCCCTGGAACAACCCACCTCAGGTCAGACCATTTCTGAAACACCAAGTCTGCAAAACCAACATGTTAACTGCTTGTTCTCTGGCATCTAGGCTCATGCTGAGGAAGGTCAAAGCATGAGGCTGCTTGCCTGGGATCGCTGGCTTTGGTCATCACCTGTCTGTGCATAAACTGAAGTCACCAGTCACACGAACCTCTCTTTAAAACCTTGCTTTAACGGTATCCAGCAACACAGGTGATCTTAGCAGTAGAGGTCACTGTATTAGTTCAGTCATGATGCAAAAGCAATTGGTTGATGAAACCCAAGGACTTTCCTGTTGCAACTTGGGTTTTCCTGGAAACCCTGACATCTGGGGAATGACCAGACTTGACCCAGTTGAAGTTAGCAGTTACCTACAAGAAGTCATACATGTCCTGCACTAACACGTCTACACCTCCGACAGAACTGGTTATCACTAAAACATCTGGTGGTCTCCCAAGTTGTCTCAGTGTATAAACACCCGGTGTTTTGAGTTGTACAGAATTAACCCACTCAAGAGAACGACTGCTGCACAGCCTCTACTTTAAGGAAAGAGCAATGAGACACGGTGCTTCACTTTTGGTTTCACAGCCACCAACCTGTGATTAACTGGGAAATCTGGAAACACTGGTAACTTTATTCCTTATCATACAAGGACATTCTAAAGATTAACCCTTGATCATCTTCTCATAACTCATTTTTCTTTGTCAGCCTAAGGTGTAGATATCAAGGACAAAGGCCACAAAAAAAGAAGTTTGCTTAACTCTATTTATCTATAGAGTTACTGCTGCATCAAACTGCTATTCCAAACTTCCTCTTTCACCTCTCTTCTTCCAAAAACACCTGTGAGTTGACCTATAGTACATTACAGCCACCACTACTTTAGACTACGCCTTTGCTAGGCTCCTAACACTTCATCACGATCATCTGCACACTTCTGCTGTACAACCCAGGTCACGTATTTCCCAAGAAACAGTTGCCACCACAGAAGGATTAGTTACACATCATTTGCTTCCAAATTTATGGTATCATAATGATGGTACTTTGCACTGTGTTCAACTACAGTCACTTGCATAGAGGTGGGGCAGACCCTTGAGACATCCCAAACTTCATACACATTTAACTCTTTCAGGCACCAGGAAGATTTGTGCGTTAATTATACTGAGTATCGTCTGCCAATCAAAACACACACTAAATTACTTTCTTTAACTTGTTTTATGCTCTCCGAGGTAGCTTTTGTTCTCTATTATGTCACTGGGCTGCCTCCTGCCTTTCAGGAAAAGGCAGCAGATGCCTAGTACAAATAGTTTTGCTCTAAAAACTCAAACCCAACTTCTTGAATTTCCATAAATGCTACTTAAATTCTGAAACTGAAAAACGTACATTTGCAATCAGACAAGTTTAAAAAAGGTGACTTCTTGTAGAACTGCCAGGTAAGAAAGCAGACGGCAGTGTAACACTCCAGCCTGACTGACCAGGGTTAGAGAGGAATTCAAGGGAGGTCTGACACACCAGCAGACTGAAAATGCAGAAATGCAGAGCACTAGCACTTCTCACGTTTTTGCCTGCAAGTTACAGCCTGCAGACGCCCCGTGCTTCCCACCCACCCCAGCACTCCCACCGAGGGGAGGGCATACTGCCACCTTTGCCCCTGGAGCTCCCACGGGGGCTGTCTGTGCAGCAAACCTGCAGCCAGAGCAGGGTGAGCTTGATTTGAGGCTGAAGTTTTTCCGCACTTGGGGAGATGTGGTGGCAGGACCAGTTTCCAGCCAGATCAGCAAGCTGGCCCAGCTCACTGGCTGCAACGCCTGCGCCCAGAGTTCACATGATGGAGAAGAAACAACCCCCCACATGAAGCAGCAGAGGCTCTGGCTGCCTTTAACATCCAGCTGATAACATCTAACTGCTTGCTGCTGCCAAAGGCGAGGTCTCACTTTCTTCCCCCCACCCCAACTCCTCCCTGCTCTGCTCAGCCACAGTCCCACCCCTCCCCATGCTTCCAGGGCTGGCACTTCATCTTTCTGCAAGCTGCCTTAGCTCACACCGGTCCCAGAAAGCCATTCCAGCTGGTCTGTTTTTCTCCCTGTCTAGAGAGATGAGTCAACTCACCAAGTGCTCACCAGCAAAGGA